TTTTTTTTTTTTTTTGGGTACAGGACCTTCCGGTTTCCGGATCCACAGATGAACCGACTAATCCGGAATCGAGCCGGGTAGGACCACAAGGGCGGCAAAGCTCTCCATCAAGAGTTTTAACACTGCTGCATTCCCAGGGCTCGAACTCGAGACCACTGGTTAAGCTGGAAGAGACCCAAACCATCTCATCCAAGCGTTCTTGGGTGTTCCTTTCTTCTTTTGCATGCATGATTGATTAGAGTTGTAAACGAGATCAACTTAAAATATTTAAGCTCGAGCATTTATCAAGTCGAGCTAAGTTTGTTGACGAATTTATAGTTTAGGTTCGTCTTGTTTATCAATATTATCGAGTTAGGTTTGAATCTATAAATGAGTCGAGTATTATTTATGAACATAGCTAATTGAAAATATTTTAAAAAATCCTATTTTTTAGTTATAATGATCTCAAAACCGAATTAAGCTCTATTCTTAACTAGTTGACCTTAGAGCATCGACAATGATTTGAATTCAATCACAAAAAATATATGCCACCAAAGAAAATAGACTCAGTTTAGAAATATATATTTTTCACTGCAAATAAAAGTGGACTGGGTCCCGTTAATGTGGCAGTCAGAAAAAAAAAAAACTCGGTTTGCCCTTAAGTCTATTTTAGACTCAAGTAGAGACCTAAGCTATGTTTGGTAAAACTAACTGAAAAGGTAGCTGAGAGCTGATAAGCTAGCTTATAGCTTATCAGTAATTTTTGAACTTATAGATTATAGCTTGTGCCTTATATACTGCAAAGCTAACTTATATGATGAAAGTGTTCAGTAAAATTAGTTGATAAGCTAGCTAGAATAACAATTTCAACGAACTTATTTGAAAAGCTACTCAAATAAGCTCGAGCTTTTTAAAAAGCTCGTCCTATCAAACGAAACTTAATTGAAAATATTAAGCTTATAAGCTAACCAAATAAGCTCGAGCTTTTTGAAAAAGCTCGTCCTACCAAACGGAGCTTATTTGAAAACATGGAGCTTATAAACTAACCAAATAAACTATAAACTAGCTTATTTGTCTACCAAACATAACCACAGTCTCTTTGTATTGAAGTGGATTTTGTTAATTTAAATAGTTTATCCATGCAATCCAAGACAATGTTTTGAATTTATTTACATGACACGTAAACAAGACTAGACTCAATGCATTGTAGATTCTCTTACCCATGACTCGTTTGTTAGATAAAATGATAATTCTTAGTTTAACTAAAAGACCATTTTTTTAAGTTAATTGTTAGTATTTGGGCTTGTAAGAAAAAAGTAGCATTGAGCCAAGTCCAATAGCAATTCAATTAGAATGGAAACCCAATGAGGTAGCACGAGCGCCATAGCAGTATATAGCCCTCATAGGCCCATATATATAACTCACGCCGTTTCATATTTCCGCACGTGTCAATAAACGATTTCCTTCGCCGACAAAACATCTCTCTCGCACCAGCTGAGCTCGAACAAAAGCTCCGATCTTTCATTCTAACCGGAATTATTCCGACGAATTTGAGGTAATCCCTTGAAACCCATTGTTCCACTTTCGTAGCTTGAGGTATCTCTCAATTAGCTTCAAATTTATTCATGGCGCCGTTTCAAATTTTGGGAAAGCCCTCAAATTTCATAATATCTGTTTATGTGTCGTCCACCCTTTTACTGATAACTTAGTTAATTCGTCATGTAGACGTACTCGAAAGCTGTTGAGTAACAAGACAAGGAGAGTTTAAGCATGGTAAGATGATTGTGGATGATTTGATTCGAACATGGTGTGATTTAGGTTTCTCTTTTATTGCATTTTAATGGATTTTTTTTTCTTTTCCAGTCAGCGCTCTTCAATTTCCATTCGTTTCTGACAGTAGTGTTGCTAGGCATCTGTGCCTGCACATACGTTAAGATGCATTTTCAAGCACTTTTGGAACAGAGGACAGGGTAAGCTCTTTTTGTGTCACAAATTATTGGTTTTTTTTTTTCTTTTCAATGGCTGCAACTTTCCGAATTGTTTGAATGTAAAAATGGTTGAACGAGTTATCACGATATGACTACGATTGCTTGGTCTGATTTGCAGAAATTTTGTTTTGCCCGCGACGTCAATCTTTAAATAAAAAGAAAAGAAATCACTCCCTGGATATTAATTCAAAACGTGTTGAGTCTAAGTGGCAAATTCTCACGCTTCGAATGCTGACATGGCGAAAATCTATGCTTCGTGACGTTGTTTTATATTATTTTTGCTCTGGAGTTAGGCTTGGTATTAGACATAAATAACTTCTATTATATTTTTTAACTCAATACCCGTGTTGTACACGTGTATTGTATTAGTTATGATTAAGTTAGAATATTACTTTCTAGTGGTGATTCCTAATCCTGTCTAGTTGGTTGATGGTGTAAATTTTTTCGTATTATCATATAAGTACAAAGTTCTAAAGATAATTGGCGTGTTCGTGAGGGTGGAACTTTGTTTCAAATAACAACCTATCGGATTTCACAATGAAACTTCTTAGAAGTTCGTTAGAGTTTTTTCACAAATAAATGTGTAGATCAAACTTGACCCCTGTCATCAGTGATATTCTCTACCTATTAACTATGTGTTATTGATGCATATTTCCATTTATATTCCGCGTATTAGATGAGCAATTACATTCTGTGTATTTTCATTAAGCTACTGAAAGCATACTATAATGTATTCTCACAAGGTTCGTAAAATTTCCCAGATCAAACATGAGGATTTGAAAACTTGATTCAGTTATATTTTTGTGACTTTGTGTAAGTAGCTGTGTGTGTTATACACATGATAAATGATATTATCTGTTGCTACTAAACGTTAATTGTTATCACCCTATGGCTCAGTCATTAAGTCGAATGTTGATATTATTTCTACACTCATTTTCTTTCATCCCTAAATCATTTATACCTACATCGATATCTTTATTTGGCAGGTTTCGAGGTGTTTTCTGGAAGGCTGCTAGAATAGGTATCACTAACCTGCTTAATCGCAAGGCTGTTGTGTATCTTTATAAAATCACCATAGATTCTTATAGTGATGCTTATCGATTTATTTTCTGTTTTAACATTATTTATTAAGAATTTCTTGCAACTCATGCTAACAATTGTGTCTCCTACAATTCTTCATGTAACAGGAGAAAGACTTAGCCCTTGGGTTGCTATCGGGTGCTTCGCGATGGGGGTTTCAATAATCTTCTTTTGAATAGGAATATAACTGACTATTATAGGCTCGAACTGATATTTTATGTACACTATCGTCAAGCTGAAAGTTTAAGGTGAAGATATTATTTGAAATCACCAGAGTCACTTGCAAAGTTGCACCAAGCTTCAATTGTGCTATTTTCAATTTTCATCCCTTGGTTTGGGAATATATAAACTAATTGATGTATTTAGTTTCTAATTTCGAGCATCCATCGGCAAACAACGGTCTGGTTCATATATACATACACATTAAAATGCACCTTTCAGTAAAAATGAAACTTTTTTTTTTCAAAAAGTTTCAAGTGTTCTTTTCTCACTTTGAAGTTCAACTTTTGCAGGTTCATATTTCTCGCTAAACTCAACTGTTGCTGCTGCGAGTTCAAGTGCTTTTTTCGGCTTCAAATTGGTAGCTCTTCCAGAGAACACTTTGTGTGTTGTAATCATTTTGATGAAAACTCCTTGCTTTTTTTTTTTTTTTCCATAATTGTGTTTTGTGCAATGCCACAAGGAAATTCCTTAACAGGCTCTAGTTTTTATAGGTGTTTTTGTCTTATATATTGAACTCTGTGAATGTGTATATGTGGTGTTATTGCTTATGATGTGTGAACTAATTAATCTGCAATAATGAGACTGTTGAGATTTTAATTGTACAAGACTTCATTTGGATGACAATATAAGTAAGAAGGATTTTAAATTCACCATAAATATTCAATTTTTGTAATTTAAATATTTAAGACCATTGACAAAATATATATTTAGTAATTTAAATATTTAAGACGAGATGACATTTTATCTATAGCATAATGAATAATAAAACTACTGGATTAACCAACCAAAGTGTTAATAGTAGCAGATAAAAAAGAACCCCAACCCCACAAGTGAAGTGAAAAGACAATAATTTTTTTTTTGGTCGAAACGATAGAAAAAGACAGTAATTCAACGGTTAAAATTTGGAAGAAAAAAAAAAAGCTTCTTAAGATGACGTTCAGCTTCAACCGTTGCTGTAAAACCTCCGACCGAAAAAATTTTCCTCGTGCAATTTTGCAGTGCTTAATCTCCGGACATCATCTGTAAATTCGCAAATTGAAATTCAAAAATAAAACTCATAAGCCAGAAAGTAAAATTGCAATCATGTCCGTTAACTGTCAACTATTAATTTTCAGTAAAAAATTTATTCCCAAAAAAAAAAAAGAATGAATGAAAAAGTAGGAAAGAATAAGAAGAAAACATAAACATGAGTTAATTATTACCTTAAATAACTCTCCAAACATTCCTGGCATGGCATTTTTACGTTGCACCCCATAAAACCTCTCGGCCACTTGATCAAGCAACTAATCCATGACGACAACAAAAGGGACGTGAAATTATATAACTAGGATATTTTGCAAGGTGAAAACTTGAAAGAAAGTTAACAAGAGTAAGTAGAGTTTGAAACTGCATACTTCATTGAAAATGGGCTCTCGGTTTATGCTAGACTCATAGCGCTGTCTCAACATATTGAAAAGAGGCAAAGCATCTCTTTGCAATCTGCATAAAAAAAATACGTGCGGGTTTTACTTTTACCAGACATAATTTTTATTCTTGATATAAGTTTTAACCGCCATAGATACAGAGGGTTTTACTTTTACCAGACATAATTTTTATTCTTGATATAAGTTTTAACCGCCATAGATACAGACATAATTTGTATTCTTGAAATAAAAAATATTTTCAGGCCAGCCAACCCAGCTCAGGTCCCGGGTCGACCTGCCGAGTCAGCCAGGTCACAAGACATAGGGAAAAACATATGAAGCAAAACTTACGTTTTCAGAAGATAACCGATGAACTCCATTATTTCTGATTGAGGAAAGTTGACATCTTGAAATTGAACTTTTTTCTTCATTTCATCCACAAGGACATTAGCATCTCTCAAATTACCTAGAGCTAAATACCTACATAAGAAATAAAAAGAAAAAAAAATTATTAAAAAATCACTGATGTAAATGCGAATAATTATTTATTCACCTGGATAATACTACACATCTAATTTTTTGTCAATTTGATCATAATATTGGAAGCATGATAAACTATAACCAATATTAAGAAAAAAAAAATAGCAATTTAATGACATTTTTTTTTCGTTTCCAAGAGTACTTACATCAAAACAGCTCGTGCAACTGCAAGATCATCTTCACCTGGGTAACACTACATATTAAAATTTGTCAAGTTGATCAGTATCAGAACAATGTATAAGACAAATATTATATGTACACATCACTGCAGTTTGTTAGATGTTTACAGAACATTTTATCCAACAGATTTATATATTGCTTCTTCAAATGATGCCCTTCATTCATATTGCAAAAATGCATCTTCAGATATTTTTTGTCTAATTTACGGAACTCTGTTATACTTATAATATGGAAAAAGAGAAATAAGATAAATTTCATGAAATCCATAAGTTTCAATTACCTCGAGATGGATTTATGTTGGGTTAATTATTACACACGGGGACACACAAGTGAAATAACTTTTTAAATCTAATTTTATTACCAAAAGGCTTATTGCCTTTCAAAATTACAAAAACACAGGTGAGAGCTGTCTTTCTAAAAATTACACCCTCGAGAGGCTTTTGGAGTTGGTTCTTTAAGTTAAGAAATATACGGACCTTTCCCATGAAATTGACGAGAGTTGAAGCAAAATTCTTTGGATTCTTCCCACGAACAAAATGATAGGACACTTTGGCCATATCCTGTTACAATAGTTAATATGAGATTCAGAACAAGATGAAAAGAAAA